TTTCCTGATCACCAACCACAATCCTGTCTTCTACATTGGATGCTTTGTCCTCATATTGGCTCATTCTGCTGCAATACTTCCAATGGAGTTTTTAATCTCTTGGATATCTGTTTGAATCTTTCATGGATTCCATGTCTCTCCTGTCCTGGGCATTCATGGCTCTGTCATGTTACTGAGTGCCTCTATTTTTTAAATCTATATCTTTCATTCTGGTCACCATCTCTGTAGCCATCTGGGAAATTATTCCTGCTTTTTTTTTTCTAGAGCCTATTCATCTGTTTGTTACTTCTGCTGTCACCACTTCCGAGTCTCCTGGTGGGTGGCCCTCAGAATGCCCACAGGGTTTGCCTTTGGCAAGCGGAATGTCTGTGGGGGTTTCATCCTGTTTAAGTGTCTTCTGTTTTTCATTGTTTTTTAAGTTTTGTTCCTGAGTTGATGCTTGTAAATTGCTTATGGTGAGTAGCTTTATTGCCAGTATTCAGAACCCTTGGGAAATGACTAATTCTCAGATGTGTCTTCCAGGTGTAGCTGGCTTTTGGGTTTTGAGTCTGCAGTAGCATCCTACCTCTTCAATTTATTGCGGATGGAAAGTTTCCACCTACTTGGCCCAGCTGCCAGTTCTTTGGTACTGGCCTATAGGTGGTGGTGGTTCTTCTTCTTCTTCCTCTTTCTCTTCCTCTTCTTCCTCCTCCTCTTCTTTTCCTCCTTTTCCTCCCTCCTCCTCCTCCTCACTTTCTTCTTCCCCTTATGCAGTCTCAGTCTTGGTATACCAGGAAGAACGACTAGCACAACTGTGTCACATTGGCTAAAGCAGTACAATCAACATTAACAGCAGCATCAAATACAGCCTAGAAAATGACAAACTGTAGCCCTGAATATGGCTGTTTTTGCCCTTAGGGGAGAGGATTTAAAAGGGGTTAGGGATGTGCCGGGGATTTAACTCAGTGGTTCTGCCACCTGCCTCGCAAGTTCAGGGACCCAAGTTTGATCCCTGGTACCAAAAAAAAAAAAATGGGGTTGGTTGGGGAGTAAAAACCATAAATAGAAGAAGAAGGAGTGGTCAGAAGCAAGGCTGGAGTACAAACTCTAGAAAACTGGTGAAGAAAACAGGTGGAAAGAGAAAAGAAAAAAATAAGAGAACAGAAAAACTAGAAACTGTGTTCAAACAATCAAGAAAAACTAAACAAAACAAGAACTGGAAAGTAGAAAAAACAAAAAAGATTTAAAAACAAAACAAAACAAAACCTAAAACACCCAATTCAAGGTGTGTCTCTGCTAGCACTGTTAGGCAGTCCAGAGCCAAATCCATCAATCCTGGCAAGCTAGCTGCAGCTTCACAGTGGGGCAGTGGACAGTCCCATCTTGCCTGCCCCTTCAGTTCCTCTGAAGTTCATGCCAGTCTCTGGCCATTGAGATTGGAACCAGATTCCTCATCAGTAGAAGTCTGTGTGTCTCCTGCTGGCCTGACCTCTGCTCTCTGACTCCCTGCTGACCCAAACTCAGCACCTGCACCAAGGTACTGGAAGCCATGGGTGGAGTCTGCCTGCAGCCATTCTGAGTTCCAAGCTCAGTTGGCCCCTCTTCAAGATGGCTACCAGCCAGTAACCCTCTCCTGGGTGAGGTCTGAACCCAGATAACTCACCAGCCACTGCAGTCTGTCTCATCCACTGCTCTGCTCCACCTGTGCACCAGGCTCCATGGAGCGCCCTGGGGTTACCAGTAGTCCCCAAGCATCTGTAGCTCCCTCGAGGAGAATCTGGTCCCTGGGGGAGAACACTGCCCAGTACCCCTGCTCCCCATCAAAGTCTCTCCCTTCACTCTCCCTGCAGACCCCAACTCTCACCTTGGACCCTTCCTGGGTGAAAGAGGGTTCGCGTGCCCTTTCGGGTGTCCCTTCCCAATTAGGCCACTCACACACCGAGAGGTCCGGCAGGAGATCTTTATTGTAGGGAGGCGAGCAGGAGGCAG